TGCATTACTTAGTTAACTCCTGCTAGTTTGCTCCCTAGATCTCACTGCATTACTTAGTTAACTCCTGCTAGTTTGCTCCCTAGATCTCACTTCATTACTTAGTTAACTCCTGCTAGTTTGCTCCCTAGATCTCACTGCATTACTTAGTTAACTCCTGCTAGTTTGCTCCCTAGATCTCACTGCATTACTTAGTTAACTCCTGCTAGTTTGCTCCATAGATCTCGCTGCATTACTTAGTTAACTCCTGCTAGTTTGCCCCCTAGATCTCACTTTATTACTTAGTTAACTCCTGCTAGTTTGCCCCCTAGATCTCACTTCACTTCTAAGTCCGCAGGAATACTCACAGAGGCACTCCAAATATTACGGAACAGAATAACACGTCAGGGAGGGAAAGTTCGGTAAAGTGAATCTCAGATATTACAGTGAATTTCCGACATTACAGTGAAAATCTGATATTGCAGTGAATGTTAGATATAACGACTAAACTAGTTGAAGAGTTATAAATCATTAGCATTATAACGCTGGTAGATCAATATGACTTGTGTGGTAAGATCCTGGTTATTGGGGAGCCATGAAAGAACATTCTGCTGATGTCAGGGAGCAGTGAAAGAACACTCTGCTGATGTCAGGGAGCAGTTAAAGAACATTCTGCTGATGTCAGAGAGCCGCGAGAGATCATTCTGCTGATGTCAAAGAGTTATTCGCCTGATTGAATCATTTTAATCCGATAATAAAATGTAAGCAAAAAAGTCTTTGCCAGCGAGTATTTCGCTGACGCGGCGTTTAGGCAGCTGGTGAAAGCACTAACGTCACAGTTCTACGTCGAGGCATGAAAAGGAAATCTGCACAGGTTTCAACATCTGAGCAGCACGACAATCTACCGACGCACTTACGATCAACGTCAAAGAAAAATTTCCAGCCGAGGCTGAAGACGAGTTTTCAGAAGCGGACCACCCCAAGACTACTGAAAACTGACCGTTCCCTTTCGCCTGCAGGGGCCCAACGCGACGTCGAAGTGTCTCCTACAGTACCCTACCACAACCAAAAACTGTCACCTTCAGTACCCCACCGCGACCTAAAACTGTCTTCAACAGTACCCCAACAGAACCTAAAACAAGCACCCGAAGTCCCCCTACGGCAATTGAAGCTTTCTCCTGCTGGGCTCCAACGCGATCTCGACCTTTCATCGGAAGTGCCTCACCAGGCCTTGAAGATAAGTTCCTCAGTTGACAACACCATCAATTTACCAGCCATTAACCCACCTTTTGATGTTACGTTGTTGGGCAGTGAATTGGATCCCGACCCTGCGAAGCGAATGCAACTGAATCACGAAAAACAACTGCTTGATACTGGCGATGGACGAGCTGACGAGGTGATCAATCGAGCCTCTAGCCCCAACAAAGAAACATTTACAGTGAATTCGAATGCATTTCTGGAACTTAAACCTAATTCTGATACAAAAATTATAGAGGAAAGTAAAGTCATAAGTGTAAAAAACGGTAAACGTGTCTTAAGTCCAAAAAATCTTTCTACTGATCCCGACAAGCTAGTAGGTCACAGTTGCAGCGCTGACACCCCAGGACCATTCGAGAACATCCAAGACCCCAGTAACAATGACGACAATTTTTCCAGTCCACAGGGCAAACACCGACGAATTTTAGACCCAAGTCTGCCTCCAGCAAATGAACATTCGCAAAACCTTGAACCAAGATCTACGAATCTGAAGGATCACCTCTTGATGCCACCGAACTGCCACAACAATCCTCTCGATGCCACTTGCTCGCCTAAGTCCACCAAGTCGGTGACCTTCGAGGAACTAGCAAGTTTGCACAATTATGAAACGACCGTTGGTAAAGTCACCAAGAAAACTAGCTTCAAATTAAAAAAGAAGCCCAAGAAATCTGATCCCAATGAGCAAAGTGAAGACGAACCGAAAAACGAGCAACAAGTTGTATCGAAAGAAAATGTGATGCCCGTTGGAATTTTGAAAAAGAAAGGCACCGATTCGCCTCCTACTGGAACCACTGCAGAGGCTTCGGAAAATGGCATAGTTTGCGATCAACCTCAAGAAACACTCGGAAATTCCGATTCAAAATCAAAGGAGACACTGAAAGATATAGGCAAGAATTCAGAAAACTCATCAACTTCAGACATCCAGAAGTCATCTGCTGCGCACCATTCTGGAGCACACATGAAATTAAAGTCAACAGGCAATTCTACTAAACATGCGGAAGTAAAAGCACGCGATGACGCTGGTGACGGATTTGGGCTGAATGAGGACGGGCCTGCTTTTAAGTCTAGTGAAATAAAGCAGACCCTTGGTGACGAGAACGTGAAGGAACCTCATGAACTTCCACCCTCGAGTGAGGCCTCCAACGTAGAAGTGATCACGACGAGCAAGAACTCCGGCGAGGGTTCAGAAGACGAACCAGCATCCAGCGAGGAAGAAGACCAAGAATCCAATCCAGACAATGAATCAAAAGAAAATAATAAAAATCTCAACCATCGAGATGACAATTATTTGGTAGGGAATGATCATACTGGAGATGAACCAAAATATTCTGACGTAGAACCTGAGCAGATGAGAAAATTTGCCCCACATGATGACATGACTAATGTCGATCTTAGAGACATGGCGAATCGGAAAGCACAATTTGGCAAAGAGTCAGAGCAACTCGAAAATTTGAATTCAAAAAACAATAGGAAAAGTACTAACAATGTTTCTGTTAGTCGTGACCAACCGGTGACTGACCAACGTTCTGCTCGAGTGGACGAGTCGGAGGCTGACTATGACAAAGAGGATCTTCAAAGTCGGAAATACTTAGTTGACGAAACGACAACCGAAATAGACGACTATTTTTCTCCACACCCTAATTCCGGGGAACGCGTTGAAAATTCAGCCTACGCTCAACTCTCTAGAACCCGTAGACATGACAGACACGAAAACAGACTCAATGACGTTCACCTTACAAACGACCTGAACTACAACAGAAGCATGGCCTATGAAGGATCTCAAATAGCCAGAACCCCAAATGAAGAGAGAACCAGTGGAACCTTGACCGAGCGTTACGAGGAGAGACCGAGGCCTAAAGTGTATAGGTTGATAACTGTCAAGTCCGCTACCTTAAGGGATCTTTACACTGCCGATGGGAAGAGATACTCAGTAATTGTCGCCCCTGATGGCAACGGGGTGTATGGTTCAACTAGTAGAAGTGGTCCTGACGCAGTGAGAGGTTGTGATAGGTACTATCTAAGTGACAGCGACCACGTCAACGCTAACTATCAAACAGGATTTAGTGGTACAAACCGGCGGCGAAGTAATAGCTTTTCCGACACATACGTGCTACAAAATTCTTACAATGGCGGCAATTTCCTGAATTCTTCGCTTCAGTACCAAAGTCTCGGCAACATAAGCGACCCAAATCTGTACAGTAACAGAACTTTTAGCCACAGCAACCAACCTCAACCCAGAATGGCACCCTCGTCCCTTAGCTTCAACCCACCTCTCGATAAGGTCTATCGCATCAGCCACAGTTCGAACAACATTTATAAGGGGATGGACCCTTTCTATGGAGGGAGCTCTGTCCGGAGCAGCGTCAGCGACACGGATATAAGTTCCTCCATGTCGCGCGTTGCCGGGATGGAGAACAACAATAACCTTATGATATCAAGGACAAAACTACTGCCAGTCCTTGAGCATCCCAAAAACAAGAAGAAGCAGAAGGGATTCTTCAATTTCAACTTCAAGTTTCCCTTGTGGGGTGGGAAAAAGGACCCGGAAAAAGAAAGGTGAGTCAATAATTTGAAGCCATTTACATAATGCGGAGGTTCATGTAAACCAATAGTTATTTGTTTACATTATTCCGTGATTAATTTCTCTATATTATTAGAATGATTATTTATTCAATTTAATGTCATATATCATGTTATATGACATTAGATGTTATATAGGGTAATGTTATTGTGTTTATTGGTAGGAGTGGATAGTACCGAATCGACGCTTCTCCGGACCCGCCTGCGTACTTGAGAATAGAATTGTCGGCACTGAAGAAATAGGCCCATGGCCTGTTGCCGATTCTTGTACTTTTCGTAACTTGATTCACAAGGGATCCGGCCTTTGGAATCCGATCTTTCCATAGCTGATGATTGATTGAGATAGCTGCTGGACTTATTGCAAGGCTCGTAAGGTGCTACAGGCTTTTCAAGACTGAACATATGCTCATGCACAGCTTCGTCTAGTCTGTTCTTGAACGCGTTCATACTCGGAGCGTCAACGATGCTATCAGGTAGGCTGTTCCACATGTCGGTGACTCGAAGCGACCCAAACGCAAAACCTAACAGCACCATGCAGTCATTACTCCTTCAATACTGAACGGATTTGCCGGAATTTTGGAATATAAATAGGTATCATTAGTACGCTGCGGTAGAAATTATTACAGATTTTTACAATAATTCGTTCTCAAATAAAGCTAATAAACGCATTTTTCAGCAACCCACTCCGTCATAACTCCTTCAATACTCAACGGATCTACTTGCAATTTGGAATATAAGTAATTGCTGTAAATGCGCTAGTTCAGGAATTGTCAGAAATAAATAAATTTCCAATATTTCCAATCAAGGTTAGAAAACTTAAACATGGACGCAATAATTTCGTAGATTCACACATTGTGTAGGTTATAGAATATAGGCTGTTAGTTATGTGTGTTTGCCTAGTCCCGAGTTGCGATGGTCGTAATCAATCCAACGAAGGGCATTTAACATTTCAATGCTGCCAATTGGCCTACCTCCGTTGGGGTAATTACGTCTTTTACTAGTATATATAGATATGAGTTAGACTGACAGCTGTCACAGCTTCCAGGGTATACCTGATCTAATATAAATAAAATAATTATATCGATCAATGCCTACGGGCAATTCTGAAGTATCGGTCATGCAAGGCCTATTTAATGACATTAACAGTCTATAACCTACCAAATATGTGAACGCCATGTGCTACTTCGAAATTATTACGTCCATGTTCAAGTTTCCTCACCTTAATTGAAAATTATGGAAATTTATTTAAGTTTGACAATTTCTAAACTAGCGTATTTATAGCAAATACTTTTATAAAAAATTGCAAGCAAATCCGTTATGTATTGAAGGAGTTATGACTGAGTATTTGCTTAAAAATGCGCTCATTAGCTTTAATTGAGGACGAATCATTGTAGAAATATGTAATTATTCCTATCTTTGCGTATTGATAATACCTACTTATATTCCAAAATTCAAGCTCATCCGTTCAGTATTGAAGGACTTATGAGTAGTTAAGTTTAGCGCGCAGTCAGGTTTTTCGTTTGAGTCCGCAGGCGAGTTCCCAGACGGGTCAGAGAAGTGTCTATTAGGTGTGGATAGTTGACTCCACGTCGAGAGAAGCAGCAGCTTCGTTCGCCTTCAGCTGCGGCGTACGCCTGTTGTTGTGGTGTTCGCCTGCAGCTGAGGTGTTCGCCTGCTGTTGCTGTGTTCGCCTGTAGCTGCATTGTTCGACTGCAGCTGCGGTGTTCGCCTGCCAATAACATCGCCTGTGCCATCGCCTACAGCGCTCGCTCCCTAACACCTCAACACAAACTTTGTATTATCGACGCTCTTGTTGAGTCATGAAACCATGGTTGTGGTGGTCGTTGTGATGCGGTGGTCAGGCGGCCATGGTTGCGGTGGCAAGGTTAGGTTGTAATGTTAGATCAATTTTGCCTCTTCTCTAGTACGAAATACCAGCCAGATTCACCGCATCTGTAGTCTGCCTTTCGCTACTATTGCCGCGCTGTGGTCGTCAAAGGTGGCTTCAGTATTCAACACTCTGAGATTACGAACAAGTTGCTTCTAAATTTCCGCGCAGTCCGATACTAAGTAACTGCAGCATATCTCATCACTTCGAACTTGGTGCCGTTGAATTGCATACTATGCACTAGGTCCCAGTCATAGATTGTCGACAAGTCATCCTGTAACCTCTCGCAGGCCAGGTCGTCTATGATTCATATCTTGTATCGTCTGTAAAAGATGATATAGATCCGTAAGTTCTGAATCGATTTCGGCAATGTGGATGATGAAGAAGATCGGGCCATAGCACCGAGCCTTGTGGCGTTCCGTTTCTCACCTTCGCTTCGGTTGATCTCGAGTCTTCAATTACAAGAGGATCAATGCCAATTACTACCCTTCTCATTTTGTTTCCTGGCTGTTGCCATGAAGATGCTTAGGGAGTTTTGCGCAGGTCGTTATACCGGCTACCATTACCGGACCACATGTCGCGCCACACTCGCCACATGTCACGCCACACTCGCCACTTGTCACGCCACACTCGCCACATGTCACGCCACACTCGCCACATGTCACGCCACACTCGCCACATGTCACGCCACACTCGCCACATGTCACGCCACTCTCGCCACATGTCACGCCACACTCACGGCCTGCATCACCCCTCACCCCGGCATGCATCACCCCTCAAGCCAGCCTGCCCATCACCCCTCAAGCCTGCCCTCACGGCGGTGCTCTGTCTCCGTACGGCTATTCCTTCTGTCCCAAGCTCGCCGATGTGACCTACATACAGTATCTGTACCGGAAAGCTTAATTATTTTTACACATTTTGTGAAGGATGATCTGTTGCCGCGCCATGTCGAGCAATCAAGGCCCTGGCTGGCGATCGCTTATCTGCGGCCCACTTGGTGAATTTGCGGCCACTCATGCAAACCTTATAATCGTTCAACGGTTGAGTGACCTCGCAGGTTGGCATCCAAAGACTGAGCTCTGGCATATCCAGGGTTAACAAATAGCGTGATAAACGGTCAAGGCCACTGACCGCCACAATTCAATATTTACTAATGATTTCGTAGGAATCGGTGAAAATTTTCAAGTTGCTTCTTTTTTTCGTGTAGAACACAATAATGAATAACCGCTATCATAAATATTGGCAAAGCAAATAAAAAAAATACATGGAATTAGGCCGAAAAATTACCGTCAGAAACCCGCCATTACGAAGGTATTGCGAGACAAGTAGCACTGGGTTATCTACATGAAAAAATGAAAGAGCTGCAAATGAAGTAATTTGAAACAGAAATTGATATAATATCTCAAACGAAATCGATATAAATTCTCATACAATATATTATCTTTCCGGTAGGGTGTGCGTAGCTGATTCTTGATGGCTTATGATTCTTGATGGCTTCGTAGTAAGTTAATCGGAACTGACATTCTGTGAATACAATCTTTATCGCAATACGACAACAGGTCTATACCCTGTCCGCTAGACCTGTCACAGTGCCCGGCTAATTGCCGGGCAAAATCAGGACACCTAATGTCTTGCATGGACTTTAGCATCACCGTCAAACAGGCCGTCAATGTGTCACGCCGTTAATAGCTCGTGGTAATTAAAAATTCCGATCAGGAACAATGAAATTGAGCTAGTATATCTACACCATTGCTATGATTGTGCTATAAACGTGATAAATCTACCAATTGCAATTTTTTATCTCCGGAAGTTACGTTCAACCCTAAAAACACTATTTACGCAAGCAAAGCACCGGTGTGCATTAGTATTAACAAAACATACTCGTAGAGCTGGGCAGCGCTACTTTGAAATGTAGCGGCCGCTACCGCTACTGCTACATGCTCTAAATGTAGCGGGCGCTGCCGCTACCGCTACTAAAAATGTAGCGGCCGCTATACATGTAGCGCGCTACTGCCCACCTCTGCATACTCGTAACATAGTGATGTCGGCGCTGAAGAGTAGGCCTGATGTGGCCTGTCGCTGATTCTTTTACTTTTCGTGACTTTTTTACAGAAGATCTAAAATCGTGTCATTTAACCGGATCTTTTCAGGACTGGCGATAGATTGGAATAGCTACTAGACTTACACTGGGTTCGATATTGTGCTAGGCATTTCAAGTCTGAACATATATTTTTCCAGAGCTTTATCTAGCTGTTCTTGAAGTTGAAGCCTTAAGTTGAAGACGTTCATACTGGGAGCGTCAACGATGCTATCAGGGAGGCTGTTCCAACTTCCACATGTCGGTGATTCGAAGCGAGAAGAAATGTTGTCGCGTGGACAAGTTTCAACGCAGTTTTTTTTTTTAGTTTATAGCCGTGGCCCCTGGTGTTGGTTCTTGTTTCAAACTCTAGTAATCCTTCTGGGACCCTGTATAAACCATGAGTATACTTGTTATACTTCAATGAAGTCCCCACGCAGACGTCGATAACTGAGGCTTGGAAGCTTCATAAAATTTAATCTTTCTTCAAAAGACTTGCCCTTTAAGCCTGGAATCATTCTTGTTGCACGTCTTTGGACACTCTCTATTAGAATAGAATAGAATAGAAGTGTCGGCGTTGAAGACATAGGCCATGAACTTTTCGTGACTTGATTCACAAGGGATCCGGCCTTTGGAACCCGATCTTTCCATAACTGACGATTGATTGAGATAGCTGCTGGACTTATTGCCTGTTGCTAGGCATTTTAAGACTGCACATATGCTCCTGCATAGCTTCGTCTAGTCTGTTTTTGAAGATGTTCATACTCGATGCTTCAACGATGCTATCAGGGAGGCTGTTCCACATGTCGGTGAAAATTCAACATTCAACGAAAATATCAAGCTTTCCTTGGACCTTACTGAATTTAACACGCCGTCAACTGCCTAGACCGCCTTTATATCCTAGAGACCCGGACTAGGCAGTATAGAATTACATTCTCGAACAAAGCAGTTTCGTTTATCCTCCTACGTCATTAGGTTCGATAGGGTGAATTCCTGAACCAAATTGGGTGC